GTTTTTGAAGAGCTGGGAGAGCGTGACTGTTATGTTACAAGGGAAGTTGACCGCGTTTGGAAGATTGTTGAAAATGATATAGAAAATTGGCTTGTTCAAAATGCTGGAAGAGTAAGGGCCACGTTACGCCTTTTGATTGGGACACCTGGTATAGGGAAGTCAATGGGGGCTGGCTCGTATCTCCTGTATCAACTGCTGCACTATGACAAGGAACGACTTCCTTTTGTTGCATACTTCATTAAAGATTGCGTGTATATCTTTGACAAGACCGGAGGTGAAGAAGAAGGACGCGTGGAGTACTACGATAACCTCGAAGAGGGAAGGCGTGCTGTGTTACGTCTCTCTCATACTGTGAGGGGATACATAATCTATGATGTGGCAAAGCAAGGAAGTGAGCCTCACCACGCTTTACCTCCAAAAGGATGGGGTATGGCTGTTGTGACTTCCCCGAACGAGGTGAACTTCAAAGGATGGGAGAAGCAGCGGGAAGCCCTGCGTGTCATAATNCTCACCACGCTTTACCTCCAAAAGGATGGGGCATGATTGTTTTGAGCTCTCCAAACAAGGACAACTTCAAGGGGTGGGAGAAGCAGCGGGGAGCACAGATTATCATAATGAATTGCCCTGAGACAAGTGAATTAAGGGAGTGGTGTGTGTGGATACACCGCGATAAACCAGAGGAGGAGCAAGAGAAAGAATGGAGAGAAATTGAGGAGCGTATAGAGCATGTGGGACCGATTCCCCGCCACATTTTTACTGAAGATGCTTTCAGTAAGCGTGTCGGTGAGGTTGAATGGGCATTGAATGAAATCACTCAAACAAACGCTGCGATGTACAGGAGCTTAAATAGTAGCAGTAACTCGAAAGGGGGGAACCCGTGCCACAAGCTTGTGAAAATCGTACGGGTCAATCAGTATTCCAAATCCGAGGTATACCACAACGAGCCAATTTCACATGCAATATTCGTAGATATAATGGCTAGGGTGTCTCAACTTTCTATTTCATATACAGTCTTGCAGGCCATCTTAATCCCCATTGATACAATGTTGCCTGTCGCCTTGGAAATGTTTGGAGTTAGTTCGTTTGTTTACAAAACCTTCGTCGAATCTGTATCTAGGAAACTGACAACGATTCCTCTCCCATTGAACCGAGCGGGGAGAGAGTGCATCTTGAAATTGAGCAGCGAGGTACATCCTACCCGGGTGGGGTGTATACCGCTCATTTCTGAGTTAAATAGAGTTACAAAGCTACCAATACAGGCTGGTGTGCTGTATATCCCAAAAAGCAGAAACTTCCCAGTGGTAGATGGTTTATTTTTTGTCGAAACAGATAATCAACGAAGGACGATGGTTTGCCTCCAGACGACTACTTCGGGGGTACACGACACAACGGCTAGTAAGGTGGTGAGCTTTATGAA